TGAATTGCGTTCGTAACCCCTAGGCCACAGACGCTCCATACAATAAGGGAAAACAACTTAAAGCGGTCTGTAACCAAATTGCCTGCTGCTGAAACGCAAGGTAAGATGGTAGCCGGCGCGGAAATTTACTCTCCCTCCCCCTTTTTCCACACACACAAACACACACATATACTCGCACACTCTCACACACACACACCCACATACGCACACACACTCACACTTAAGACCTTCACACACGCATGTTAATTTTGAAAACACATATTTTGATCTCCCCCGCCACCTTCTCCTCCCATTATTCGTGCGACCAACCCGACCTCTGCTGACACAACCCGAATATTTCGGAATTATGGACCGCTTTCTTAACATCTATACCACAGAAGACGATTGCGCGTGCGCGCGTGTGGTGTGTAGATACTCCCCTGCTTGTGTCTTAAGCAATGCCCGCTTATAAAGATTTCTTTATTTACATTTCTTATCTCCTGCCTAAAATTAAGAACCAGAACGACATCGTAATTTGTATACTATGCCCTACAACTTCGGCTACATTCAAACGTTTTATATCGTAACAGCAAGGTGATAGTTAATGTAAACCTGGTAAGACCAATAGTTTTTTGGGAGCCGCGTTAGCGCAGTCAATGGGAAGCTCGCTTTCAAATCCAGCTGTGACAAGCTGAAGCCACGGTCTGTTTTCGAAACCGGGCGGTTCCTGGTACTATGGATATCGCAACCCCTGGGCCTTGATTCATTGATAGATACCGTCAGTCTGTGAGAAATGTGGCTTTTCTGCCTAAGTCCGGTTAGTCTGGTGAAGTCTTCACAGTGAAGATTTCATGCAATGGATCTTTAAAACTCCCAGTCTCCGGTCTAGGTTGATAATTTCTCTGACTGCACACTTTAATGGATTATTGTGGCATGATAAGGCAGACATGGTTAGACTCTTGTGGAAGAACGGATGAGAAGCAAATGGATCACCACTGTCTGGTGAGAATGATGCAACGGGGAGTGTCCAGGGGATCTGGTCGATACTCGTATAATCAGAGTGCTACTGGCGCGATTAGTATTGGAACTCTGCGCTGGCTGCTGAAAATGGGGACAGAGCGCTTATTGGAATGCCCCGACTCAGACTGCCACTAGCGAGTCTCTTGTTCTTATCATCCTGCTTTACCCGTGTGGGTTGCGGTGCTTGATTTCTGGCGGGGAAAAGAATAGACACATGGGACAAGCATTTGCAAAAGGCAACTTAGTCATAGATTTTTAATAGAAAGTCAGAGTGAATCTACCCGAGATGCAAGGAATCAACAGTCTGCATACTAAAAAAAAAAAAAAAAACCAACATCAGATTTGTATAATCGATGTGCACTCAAAACTCATGTTTTAGAACAAGACCAAAGTCCATAGGTGGACGAACAACCAGAACGTTCCACCAGAGTTTACAGCCAATGAAAGCTGTCGCCAACCCCGTGGGTAAATACACTTATATAGTGAGTGTGTGGGTTTGAACCCTAACAGTGCCCACCCACGTGAGAAACTGGACTGATATCTAAGCTATGCTGATCCTAGACCGTCCTGGACATCTAAGAAAACAGCGAGTGGCTCGTTCCATTAAATGAAAGTAGCTGTACTTGTATCCACAGGAGTAGGAGAAGGGATAGATATCAAGATGAACCCAATGAGATAATATCTAGATACACAGTTAACCCCTCCGACTTTCTCCTCTCGTGGTATTAATTTTATAACAAAAGCCCCCATCAAGTGATTTACATGTTTGTGAGCTGAAGTAAACCAGTATGCACAAAGACACTTGAACCTAAGTCCACAATTTACTCAACTACTTTATGACATGAACAAGATTTATTAAATAAATCTAACCAAAAATAAAATGAACGTGTTTAGGCTAGTAGAGTGAAGATGGTGTTACTGGTGAAATTAATTCATATGAAAGTTATACATAACTCATACAATTGGAGAAAATAAACCTTAGACAGTTCTCAGTTTGAGACCCTGCCCACCCTTTTCCAGTTCTCGCTTTTCCAGTTTTCCTGCTTCAAGCAGGTCATTTCACGCAGACGGTCGGCACAGAATGGATGCCTACTAGTCCCTGCCCAATGTGGGAACTGTGGTAAAGATATAATCGCGTATGTTTAGTATCTAGACTTACACTAAACATGTCGATTCTAATAAAACATTTCATCTCTCCCTCATAATAACATTCTTTCCTGTCCAGTCTGGAAGGACTTTGTCTCACATTGTAGTGGTTACATTTCCTGCCTTCCTCTACTCACATCCTGTAATGATAGTTGAGTCTTCTATGATGTCATCTCTCATTCAGACTTAAAATGACAATCAGTTTGACAAAAAAAGTTCTGGAATTATTGATTGGAATAATGGGCGCGCCCAGAATGATAACAATATTTCTGGGGCTATATCAAATAACAAATCTCAGGGATTTACTCTCCAGGATCAATCTCCACATTAGCCTCCTGGGAGGTAAACACATTTCAGTGTGTTAGCTGTATGTAATATAGATTCAAATTAACCACATATAAAAAGACTGCCAAAGTTATCTTCACGCTTGTGATTTCAGAAAAATGCTAGTTCATTAAATTTAAATGGTAACATCAACATTTAAGTTATACAACATTGAAGCACATGTGTACGAAAAACATTCATGACAATATCAGTTATGATATAAATCAATTTGTCAGTGCCCTACGAGAATGGAGAAATGTCTGCTAAAGAGTACTACAAAGTAATGAAGACACACACTTGAGCAAAAAGACAGATTTCTATCACGAAATAAAGGTTGAAAATAGTTTCGCTTACCTGGAAAATAGAAACACAATGCCAAAAGTTCTGTCTCAAGCTTAGGTTTTAAACCCAACAGATGGTGTGCTGATGGCAGAAACTCACCTCCCAGTCTTAGAGTCCACCCTTTTATAACTTCTTCTAAGCTTCTCCTACATTACTCCTAAAACTACTCTCATTCAAGGATGTCATAGCTCCTCCCCGTGGGTAAGTCTATTCACTGTCAGTCAGGACTGTACAACACTTGTTTGCATTCCCACGGTTACATACTCCTGGTCCATCAAGCTGGCCAGAGCTTATAAGCTAAGTCACACCTTCCATCCCTTTTTCAACCTGCCAGGTTCTGTTAACACCTCTAGCAGACCATGTCAATACTGGCGATCTGAACTGCACTCTAGTGGGTAACCTCAGGGGGAGATAATCACAACTAGCCTGAGTTATCTGTTCCTAAAGGTCTGGCTAGGAGATAATTATCTGACACCTCAGTTCTACAAGCAAAATCTCCAGCCACTAAGTCTGAGCTTTCAATTTTGTTGGTGCCACTTAGTCTACCTGGTCTGTACCTTAACACTTTACATCTGGAAAAAAGTCTCAGTGTTTGATATCACCAGCAGTCCAGGAGAATTAAATAGGCTTGTTCTGGTCACCTTGCATAGATTTAGGATATATCCAAACCCATATTTTTCTGTATACTTTAAAATACATAGAAATGAAAGTAGGTTGAGGAAAGACACATTCTGAAATCACCGAGCGTGTCGTCACAAAGGCTATGAAGAAGAAGTATCCTCTCGACTAGGTCGTCGTTCAGCTCTTGCTCTGTAGCCTTCAACGCCCCCCTCTTTCCCCAAGCCTCAATGGTGTTGTATAAAGTAAAACAAGGGACCCTTGTACGCCAGTGGCGCACGGGGCTTATAAGGCAAGACTCATGTTTTTGTAGAGCTTCCGGCATTGTTTGTGTGATGAGGTCAAAATCACGGCTGGGGGACAACTCCGTCGCCGGTCGGGACCGTATTTGGGTCTGTCTTCATTGCTCGCGACAATACTGCAAGAGTCCTTTTCAGGGCTACTTGGTGGTGAACAACATTAAGAGTCATACGATGGACTCCATTCACAATGATTGAGGACCTTGATTTTGCAGATGATATAGCACTTCTATCTTATAAACATAAACAAGAAAAAAGCAGCAGACTACACAGCACTGCAGAAATGGTGGGACTGAGAATAAATACAAAGAAAACTAAGATCATGACAAGCAGTCCAAACCAACAACTAGTGACCATAAATAACCAAACTCTTGAAAATGTAGAACATTTCACATATCTTGGCAGTGTGGTGTCCCTAATGGGAGGGACCGAAGAGGACATACAGTCACGTCTGAACAAAGCTAGAGCTGCTTTTGGAAGGATGAGGCAAATCTGGAAATCCAACAATTACTGCAGAGGAACGAAACTCTGACTCTACAAGAGCATCATTTTGCCCATTCTTCTCTATGGAGCGGAATGCTGGAGAATGACCAAAAAGGATGCACAGAAGCTGTCACCTTCCACCACACATGTCTACGTACAATTATCAAAATTGTCTGGCCAGATACAATCTCAA